TGAGGCTCCTCCAGCCACCAGATGAGGCGGTGGCAGGGGCCTGGTTCATTGCACCGAACCACAGACCACCCGGGAAAGCCCAGGTCTCCACTGCCGTGATCCCAGGGCCTCAACATGCCAAGCCATTGCACCTCAGTAGCACCCGGCCTTTCAAGTAAACCGATGCTATAAATGCTTCCCATGAGAAGTAGCTATGTATATATTGATTACATATATAGCGTTACATTCCAGCCCACCCCAATTAAAAAGCCAAACATTCCCTTTCAGAAGGTCCCAGTTGTCGGGGGTCACAGATGCACGGTTTCCAACAGCCCCTAGTGCTGAATCTGTGCCCGGGTCCGTCAGTTATTCTCCCTCCACGGTGCTGTCACGAGCAAACGGCCAGAGACAAAGCACGCCAACAAAGTTGCTTTCCCCACAAAACACTTGTGTCTTTTCGAACGGTTGTGGGTGGCCTGGCCTCAGTAGCTCCCGGGCAGCATCTGCGAGTGAGGACAGGAGAAGCTAGTTGTGCTTCCTTCTTCCTTTGTGCCTCTGAAGTTGTGTTTATTTTTCCATTTCGCCTTTATCTTTTATTTTCTCTCTCTCACTTTTTTAGCATCCGATTCCTCCTCCTCCTCCTCCTCTTCTCTTCCAAGAACCGAGTCTCCTCTCCACCTGTTTGTGTCATCTCATCTCCACTCTCATCCCAGACCCGATACCTTTGTGTGGCCCCCTGCAGCTCACTCAGTCAGTGACCCAGGGCCCCGCCGGGATCCCTCTCTCTGTAAACCTGGTTTTTCCTTTCTCCATAGACCTGCTTCATTTGCCTGATGGTTTTATTTTCTGATAACCTTCTCAACTGGTAAGCTGGCCGGGCGTGGCAACGGGTTTGTCAGAGGATCTTGTTCCCCTGAACATCCAAAAGCCGCTCCGAGACCACAGAGCCGGGTGCCCCCCCACCCCAACCTCCTCTTTGTAAACAAGTAAAACAGGCCCGTTCTGAGCAGAAACACACACACACACACACACACACACACACACACACACACACACACACCCTGTGGACCTATCCATCTACTCTGTAGACGGCCTGCGCCTGCCAGGAGCAGCACCCTCACACGCATTTCATCTTGATTCATCCGTAGTCAGCAACACACTTACATAATTCCAATGGCTTCCTGACCGCATTCCCGGCCCTTCCATCTCATGCTTCCCCAAAGGTCACCATTCTTGGTTAGCTTCTTGTTTGCCCGTCCGGTGCTGTTTCACGGACACGAGTGTATCATGCCAGCTGCCATTAGCCAGAAAAAAGAGTAAAAACATCATATAACCCATGCCATTCAGCACCCACCTCTCACCCCTCACAACCCATCCTGAAGACCACGCAGTGGTTGTCCACAGAGCATGCCCTCTTGCCCCTGCAGCTGGGGTCTCCATGGCCCACACGTTGTACATTCGGGGCCTCTCCCTCGAGCCTGATCATTGCCATCTTCCTTCCTGCTGCCGCAGCTTTCAGCCCACTCTGAGGACCCCCAAGAGCACAGCTCAGGGGGAAGGAAAGGCCGCCCGTAGGCATAGAAAGCAAAGAACCTCCCCACGGTGCCAGCCTCCATGGCGGCTCACACAGAAGGAACTCAGACCCGCCCAGGCTGAGCATCGCAGCCCTGGCCGGTGGCCCCAGGGTCTGGCTGCTTTAGTAGCTCTCCTTCAGAAGCAGGCACCCGGCAGGGGCAAGCCGTGCCATCCACGTGGGTGGCAGGAAGCCTGGCTGGCCACCACGAAGGCCATCTCTCGCCCACAGTGGCCTGGGGCTCAGACCCCCCCACCCCCCACCACACAGAGCAGGCCCCTTTGTGAAGTGGCAGGCCTGGTTTGTTCTGTTTCTCAGAA